ACACTCCACAACCAGACTTTTCCAAAAGCTGCTGACTACGCACGAGGGCAGCGCTAAGTTTTCCGGGAATGCATTCTTCAAAAGTCAGTATGGGTGGCATGGTCGGTTGGCAGTTTTGCCCCGCTTTCGTTTCTCCATGCCGCACAGCTGTTCGAGCCCCCTCCTGCTAAGGCCTAGGTTTTCGGCTAGAGCTTTCATTTGTTCCCGCATCTCCCACAGTTGGCGATCGGGGACAACTTCTTCTGGGCGCCTGGGCATGCTTTTGGGCTGCAAGCCACTCCCGGCGCTGGCACCCCCAGCTGGTGGCTTTGCCTTTCGCTTGGGGTGCAACTCTAGGAAAGCCATGCCAGCGGCCTCACATGCTGGCGAAGCGGCATCGAAGCTCAGAACAGGCGGACACGCATGGCTCTCGACCTCCTCTTCCAACTTCTCATCCCCTTGATCCCCTTGACTGTTGCCCGTCTCCAACTTCTGATCTTCGGTCTTCGCATTCTCACTGTCTGCTTTGGAACCCTCCCCATCCATCTCCACCTGGTCGACCTTTGGCATCTCCATCTCATCATCCCTTGGCGCATTCACGTCCTCATTCTTGGACTTCTGAGCAATGCGCCTTCTTTGGCGCTTTCTTTGTTCTTTCCAGGGTGCCTGCTTATAGTGGAGGTTGAAGAGGTGCTCGGCATCCACTGATTCCGGGGAACCGTTGTCGCTTCCATCCTCCTTACAGACCGAGTGGTCACGCCCTTCCTCCTCGGAGGATATCGCCACCGATGTTGCCGAGTCGTCGTCATTCAGGTTGGCCTTGGAAACAGGACATCATGCAAAGAATGGCGGACAATTCCTACAGTACAGGAACAAAGATAAAGATTAATCAAAGCATTACTGAACAGTTTTTCTAAATAAAGACAGAGTACCCGCATCCCAGCTCTGTAGCACATGGCCATGTAGACCTCTTGGGTTTTGTTGGTCTCCATAGTAGTCTCCATGGCTGGGCTCAAGACGGCTTTGTCAGTCAAACTTGAGTCTGCTTTTCACTGGGGTGCGTTTCTATGGCTGTGACTGGGAACCTGGACGCCGCTTGTTTATCTTCAAAAGCTACGAACGTAAGACAAAGTGAAAGCAAAATTCCAAGTGATGGCGACTGCACTGTTCAGATTCTATTTAGTTGCAACTTGTAGGCGGGCTACCGCCAAACTAAAATACACATGTAGGCGGGCTACCGCCAAACTAAAATACCAACCAAAAGAGACACATTGACATACACTATATGTAACTATTTGGTTCTTTAGGTCTTACTTGAAAGTTTTCCTCGGAGCGCCTTTGTTTTCTTTGCTCTTGGAACAGTTATAATTACACAGTGACTGTTTTTGAAGACGGCAAAATTAAACTCATTGGCGCCTACACCCTTTCTGCTCGCTCCGGTACGCTTTGGCTTCTTCAAGGAGCCTTGCAAGGGTGGTCTCACCCTGGACCCATTGCCATACCCCGTCTCGGGCAATCAGATCAGGCATCCAACATCATGTCAAATCAGTAGCCGCGGGACCGCCAGCACGACAATGTGCAAAGCGGCCTTTGGCGGCACTTCGGGCAGCCATGCTTGAATTTCTTTTTGGTTTGCAGATCCAACTTTGCCAGGATAGCGTCCCTGAGTTTGTTCTTCTCCTGCTTGGAGATCACCTTGTTGGTTTTCTTCGAGACAGTCTTGACCTGGCAAGCCTTGGCAGGTCTCTTCAAAACCTTGCCAGAGGCTGAGGGTTTTTCTGACATGGGAAGATCAGAAAGGCCGCTCTGGCTGGCAGACTTTGGCTGGGATTTCATTGATGGCTTCTTCATGACAGGCTGCTTGTTCGAGCCCTCTTGTCGCTTGGCCCTAGCCTCCTTCATCTTCTGCATGCTTTGCTCCAGGGACATCTTTGCAGGCTTGTCATTGCTCAAGGGCGCATCCACGACCGTCTGGTCCTCGCGCTGCTCCTTCTCTATGGGCTTGACCTCCTGCACCAGATTCTGCGTAGAGAGCTGATCACAAATGCATGGACAATTCATCTTTGGCGGGCTACCGCCAAGAAACACCAAAAAATACAAGCTGACGTGCACAATCTGTTGCATTGAACACATTTGAACCAACTTTAGTCTCCTGACCCCCGTATACTTGATCAACCTATATATATATATGTATATGTATGGGATGTACGTATACGTATACATTAAATATCATTCATACTTGATCCCAGCTACCCCTCAACACTGGCAGACACAACGAAGCAAGCGCCTCTGTCAGCATGGGCACCACCTTCTGTTCCATTGGCTCAGGAAGGACAGGAGGCTGCGCAACCCCAGGAACCTGCTCTGGTGTCTGGTTGGCCGCAGCACTTTGTTCCTGGCGAGAAACTGCGGGGCAAGGAGCTGGAGGAGAGAATTCAGGTGGTGCTGGAAGGGCCAGTAGAGGTTTTTGACTCGGCTGGACCTCAGCTCTTTGAAGCAAATCTCCCAAAGCTTTGCCAGCCGCTGGAGGCCTCTGCACCATCGAGACGTGGCAGCTGTCTTGCTGCCTACCCATGTGGTTGGCCTGCTGCAACATCATGCCGAAAAAAGCCTGAAACCCAGCCCAAAAAGTCTCAGGTGCCATAGAGTTCGTGTTCTGTTGGATCTTTTTGTTTGTGTTTCTGAGAGATATTTCCCTCGCAACGGTGCTGATGTCAATCATGGAAAAGGGGGGATTTGTAACAGGGCCTTCTGGCAGAGCAAAGGCCAAGAACCCAGACGCACAGTCTTGTGGATTCAAGGGTAGGCAAACCACAAAGTCGTCATTGGGCAATGGCACCTTGTCTTGCTTTGCTCTGAACATGTAGGTGTCCACGCGTGCTTTCACGTTCAAGAAGATCGAACGAAGCTTCGTAGATTCGGGCATGGTACCTTCTGTGACCTTGGGATCATCTCTCAGGATACAAAGTGCAGCCAGCACTGCTTGAGTCCGTTCGCTGGGGCTCCTCAACCCCAACGCAACCAGGCGCTTGAGACATACATCCATAGCAGCCAGGGTCGCAGGTGCTGCTTGGATTGCATCCCAAGTCTTTTGGTCAAAGTACAAAGGAAAGGCGCACCAATCCTGCACTGCAAGCCGCCCTGCGGCTTTGGTAGCTGCCGACATGGCCTCGCCCTCTACGCAACAACCCCCAGCAAGCTAAGCTAATGAGCGCAGCAAGCAATGAGACTCAGCAAGGCGGACCACCGCCGGGCAAGATGATCAACAAAAGCAGTGCACGAATCAATCCACTTGCCAGCAACAAAACTACATATACATCTGTTAGTGACTGTTAGTGTTTGCCTTGGCATGTAGTTTCCAGTTCAAGTATTGTATATATAGTGTGCACACTGGTATGTATTCGCAAAAGTTAATGAACTATTTTTTTGCCGCAATGAGAAAGTTTTCATAAGCAATTCAGGAAAATATTAAAAAACCAATGAAAAATACGAACAAGCAAAAAACAACACAAAAAAAAAACAAAAAAAGCTAAGTTCTGTAAGTTGTTTGTAAGTTCTGTGCCCACCCAGGCTTAACTAACTTACAAATGCAATAAAAACTTACATCTTAGTTATAACTCATCATAAGGCTATCTTAAGTTAGCCCAACTTAACCCATGTTATAACCTATGTTACACTAGCTTATAACATATGTTACAATACTTCTAAGTTGGTCTAAGTTGAGGGGCCCCTCATTGCAGTACCCGAGTGGGAAGACTGAGCGAGTCACACTTCGAACTTGGGTTTTCAGTTAACTCAATTGCCACGATGGGAAGGAAGGTGAGGGAACGGAAAGGCGCATAAGTCCGCAAAACAGTATTGTTTAATCAATGTTTCACAGCAAGTGCGAGGTGAAGCGGCTGCACAGCGGCGGGAAACCTGTTTTTTGGGGTAGGTAGCATGAAGAACCATGGAATCAAACGAAGCAAATTAGACAGCGTGGTCAAAAGTTCAGGTTGCAGGTACGTCGAATGAGCGTCCTCTTTCGATATCCTAGTCTGAACCTGGAGCTTCGTTGGCTCACGCCAGGAACAGACCCGTGAGCCCCCTGCCTTGGATAGAAAATCTAGGTGGTGGTGGAAAAGTAAAACAGGTGGAAACCCTTAGAGCCAGGGTGTGACACACACACACATGTGTAATTAGACTTTAGACTCTCGCCTGGATAACTGAGAGAATGGTGCAAACCGGTATTGGGACTACTTTATCTTCCTGACTCCACTGTTTTAAGGGTGCTCTAGCGGCACGGGCAGCGCCCAGACTCCTTTGATTCAGATTCCACTTGGGAACTGGTTCTTTGAGGTTTGGGAGTCTCAGAAACTCCATGGGACTGCCATATTTGCCTACATTAGGGTGGATTGGGGAGTCAATGGGGCGGCATATATGGCAGTCCCATGGAGTGTTTGGGTTTTGGACGATATAGTTCTTTGCCGTTTCAGGTCGTCTGAACTTCTTGGGCGCATGGAATTCAGTGCTGATCCCGGTATACCCCAGCTGTCCAACTTTTGGAAGGGATTCACCTTGGCGCTGAGACTCTGTCATCGTGCGCCACGCCATCAAAAACCAAAGATTCCACTTATATTATACCAGGACCATCCTGTCTGGGTGTCCAATGGAGACCTATAAGTAGTGTAGGGTAGTCCAGCCAGGACACCCAGACAGGATGGTGCAGGTAGAATTACCATTCAATTGATTTGTGTTCTCTTGGCAGACTCACAGACCTGGAGATCTAGGACCTTGTCATACATCTACTAAGAGTTTCAACCAGAGATGGTCGCAGGAATCTTCACCAAGGGGCAAAAAAACACACCGAGTGGCGAGACCCGGCTTAGAGGGTCAACTGTAGTGACCTCTACTGATCTACACTCCATGGTGATCGGGGTGTTGGGTCTATCCCGATCCCACCTTCACGGAACCAGCGCGCCATACCCCATACCACCGCCGCGCCCAAGTACTGACGCGCCGAGGTGAAGCCAAGTGGACAAATGGGTCGGTCACTTGGCTCTGCGAAGGACAAGAGACCCGGGTCCATGCAGGCGAGCTCGGCGCTTGCCACGTGAGCGGATCGCGGGTTCAGGAGACGAAGATGTTTGGCTGGTCGAGATGATTTCCACCGGGGTAGAAAAAAGGCTGCGCCAGTTCCACTGGGGTAGAAAAAGGCAACGGTTCTTTGGACGACATGTTTTCATGGGAGGGAAACTTGGAAAAGAACGAACAAGCTGTGAATCTTCATTTCCATCCATTTCCCCTATCATATCAATCTCTTCAAGAGAATCTTCCAGAATTCAGCTTTAAAAAGAGGCAGTATATGATTTATTTGGTTGGGTGGTTCCAGAGATTTTACTTTCACTACTGGGCAGTCTATTTACCCCGAACGTCCGCGTGAACCGCGTGCGTCACCGGGCTGGCCGGATGCCTTCGCCGCAGGCTTCGGTCTCAACTTCCAGGCAGCGGGCGCGAAAAGCGCCTTCGACCGGCTGCAGCGCTTGCGCATTGGCGGAATGATGGAAGATCTCAGCAGCATGGGAGACTTGTGCTGGAAGAGTGGTTTTCCCGCGGTGCGGGGTGGGGTGGGGGTGGTGGTTTTGGTGGTTTGGTGTGGTGGTGATAGAACGTTGGTGAAGGTGAGGGTTGGACATACTTGAAAGATTATGACTGTAGCGATGTGTGGTGATCAGGTAGAGGAAGGTAGTGACTGTAGACTCTTGATCAATAAATCCCCCAGGCTTGAAGAGGTTTTACAATCCAACTGTTGGGTTTTGTTCATCAAGAGTCTACATTATGGGAGGTGATGGTTGAGTCCTGGGTGTTTTCAGCCGGTCTGGGTGAGAGGCGGTTCTGGGATTTCGGGCAAGGATCGGCAGACAGGGACCATGGTGGCGGGGCATGGTGACCGGGGTGCGTACGTGAGGCGGGGTCGGGGTGTGGACGCACCCCTCCAAATACCTCCAATGTTTGAATCCAGGCGAACCACTCGTTCGCTGGGAACCAGTGGTTCCAGCTCGACTAAAACCCTAGACCCAAGACTCGGGGCCCCTGGTTCCAAACGAATCCTGGTCACTGGGATGCACTGGGTATGTTTGGCATCAGCAGCCAGCGGTCGTCTTCGGCACTCGGAGAGGTACCTTTCAACTCCGTCCACATGACTGGTCCAGACGGGAGGGCGTCGTCCGGTGGTCTCTCGCAAGTCATTCCGAGTCGGACACTGCGAGGTGGAACAACTCGCGGTTGGGCACTCCTGGACCTCCCGGGCAACCCCCTGAGATTCCGGAGCCTTTTCGACCCAGTAAGGGGTGCAAACAGGGTGTCACCAGTGGTGTCACCCTTTTTCGTATGTATGTATCTCTGTGTGACAGAGAGACCGTGAAGTGCTCCTCGCCTGGGGGTGCCACTTCAGACTCCTCGCACTCCTCTCTCTGTCTCTCTCTCTCTCTCTCTCTCTCAGCGACCGAGTTGGAGCTCAAACCAGCGGAAGTGGAGCATTCACTGAAACTCTTGGGTCGGTCTTGGTGGGTGACCCGGTCGGTCTGTTCTGGTGAGTGATGGGATGGTGATGGAAGGCTAAGAGATCCGTACTCACCGACCGCTTTGCTTTTTCGAGCCACCCAAGAGCCTGCTAGTGAGGATTCCTCAGCCGTGTGGGCATGTACGTGAAGCGCTCGAGCCTTTGATGAAAACAGGTTTTTTTCCAGGCGCTCCCAAACAGCCGTTGGTCCCTCAAAACCTAGGGATTTGACCCCTCCATATCTACTGCGCTTCATCCAATAATATGATTTTGAGTTCTCCTCAGAAGACAAGACGGGATGTGTGAAAAAAGAAAATACTATATGTATTATCTTTCATTCATTGTAATGTAATATATTTGTAGACAGTAGATTCTTGATGATTCTTGATGAATACTTCCATACTAGTATGAAGAGGTTTACAGTCCAAATGCGGGGGGGTTATCAATAAAGAGTCTACATCAATTACAGTATTGGTTTATTAGCAGCACTACTATGTCTTCGGAGCACTTGAGCAGCTTGATGCGTGAAATCCTGCAAAGCCATGCGAGAGGCCTGCCGGGTGCCATGTGAAACCAGATTGTGTACGGAGGTGTGGGAGATGTTGTTCAAAAGGGACATGCAATGTTCCTCCATCCCAGACACTCCATGGGACTGCCATGTATGCCTACATTGGGGTGGTTTCAGGGGTCAATGCCGGCATATATGGCAGTCCCATGGAGTGTCTGGGTATGTTCTTCTCAGAAGTTAAGAACAAATAGGGTTCCTTGTTGGATTTTTCATTCATTTTCATCCCAATGGGCCCATGATTGGCAGATGAATCATATCTAACCACGAAGGAACCAGGCTTTCGTTCGGTCTACGGTTTAAGTAGAACTGGTATCATTGGTCACTAACCATAGCATTTAAAAGTTCCGATGGTGTGGGATGAAGATCTTACCAGACGCTCTGTGGAAAACAACCCTTTCCCGGTCCCTCAGAACGGGATTGCCCCACGCTTTTATTCTTGCAAGGATTCCAATCCAGACGTCGCATTTGGTCAGATCACCAGGCTGCGCACCGACCCCATGACCAGTTCGGGCCGCCCCGCGACGTCTGGGTCAGTCAGTCAGATCACCCACAGTGCATTGGCCGAAATCGCTGCGCCAAGCCTTGGCGCGCGCGCATCTCGGCGCCCGCCGCCTTCAGCCCGCCCACGCTGCTTGACGCGAGGATCCGCGAGCGAGCGCTGATGGATCGGATCTTCTTAGACGATTATCGGACCTACAACGCCTCGCGCCAGGCGGCGACGGCGTCGGACGACGAAGTTCGGCGGGGAGTTGTCGGAGTTGTGTCTTTTTCGTTTGATTGGAGGTGGATCGAAGGACGACGAACGAGATCATGGGCGCGTGCGGAAGATGGGCAGAAAAGAAGGGTTTTAGGGACAAAAGGGCAGAGGTCTCAGGATTCGTTATCTGTCTTTCTTTTGCGACGGAATATATATGTATACCCGACCCTAGGCTTCCAAGACCATTAAAAGGAACTATAGTCTAAAGTCACTCAAGTCCTTGTAAGTGAAACTATAAAACAATGCGTTGGGTAAAGTAACGACATTTAAATGAAGGGTGGTTGCAATCCTAGGGTAATGTATCCCATGTAGTCGGTAGAGGTCATGTCAATATTAGGTCAATGGCCACGGGTGCAAGTAGAATGGAACTTCTACACTTCTACATGGCCTGGCGCCACCAGCTGACCCAGTTGTTAGTTGGCTATAATAATAGTTTTACAGCAGAATGAATGCCACATAACTTCAGCAACTTCCTGAATACTATGATCATCCTCCAGCACCCCTCAGGTTTCGGGTGTTTTTAAAGAACCCCGCGACCACTTGCTTTACCATCCACCACCCGGTTCCGGTCCAGTCGGGTGGTTTCATCCGTCCATTGCGACCCGGCAACGTGGTCGTCGTGGGGTTCGGTTCGTGGGGGGCTCGGCGATGGCTCCCGTTGAGCCCGTGGAGAAACGGTGGAGATCTGCCACGAGTACGGCAGTTTTTGATGTGTGTTTGATGGATCAAACTTATGGATGGACTAGTAGCATATGAATATGTAGAAGGTCAACACATCGTTCAGCACTTCACACTGCACCCCAAATCGAGAAAATGACCTCAAGTCCTTTCTCTTTTGATACAAATCCTGGCATATTTGCATACATTGGGGTGGTTGAAGTTGGGGCCAATGGGGTGGCATATATGTCCTGGATCCATGCATGGAGTGCTTCTTCGCCTGTGTGGGCTACAGAAAGTCCCCTCACGTCTGGGGGGAAGTCTGGCCGCCAGACAGTCCCATCCTCCTTTGGATCCTCTGTATATCTTCCAGTTCAACGTGTCTTGTCTGGGTATATCTTTTGATTCATCCCCCATGGAGCGGAAAGTGATGGCTTTCCTGTCGACTGTCCAGGTCTCGACCTGTGCGGAAGTCCCACGGAGCCTGTAGTAGCACTCGCATTCGACTGACCACACGACCGGTCGCCAGTCGCTGGTCGCGCTCGGACCTCGCAGAGACCAGCCCGCAAGGCCTTCTATCAGCCCCAGCGGTACTTTACGCCCTTAAGCTCCATCGACGTGGATCTCTTGGTGCCCTGCGATCAATGGACCCTGGTCGACTGGCACACCAATGCCATGGCAGACAGCGACTCGGGACGGGAAGGAAGTCGTGCATCCGCTCTCTGCTGCAGGCATTTTTTTCGTCAAGGGTTGGGAGTGGCAGAGGATGGAAACCAGCCGCGGACCCGAGGATTCCATCGGATTCAAATCCACCAGCTCGAGTTTCACACAAACAGCGTTCTTTTAGGGTCCCGAAAGGAGGTTCATGGTTCGGTGTTTGGCGTCCCTTCTGTGTCGATTCGAATTATGATGTTGACACACATGAAAATCATACATAAAATATCATAAGAGATCAATGGAGTTGTAAAAAGACATGAAATGCATTGATCAACGGCTCATACCCATTGAAGATGACTCCGGAAATATCATCACCGGTTGAGAACAGGTTCCATCTGATCAAGCTGTTTGGATTTGGCCCAAACAATCCTTGGACCCAACATCTTGGCAGGGGTTTGGGCCCAGCCAAACCTTTTCTATGGGTTCGGGTTCCGGATTCTTATGGTTGTTTCGAAAAGATCGCAATGTTCAGATGCAACTTGATGAACATGACAACATACCCCCAAACGCTGACCCGAATCTGGAGGGGTCTTTTTGTCGAACCCGGTCCGCCCGATCGGTTGGGCTTCGGGGACCGGAGCGTCGGGCGTGTGGGCGCGGAGCGTCCCAGACACGTTCGCCGAACGGCCTCCAGTCTTTGACCGACCCAAAGGAATGTCTGGCCATCAATATTCTTGGTGCACCTCCAATGGGCAAACCCGAACAATCGAACATGACACTCCCAACAAAATAGTGAAACCACTGAAACCACTGAATGAAGGTCTTCACCACATGTTGCTTTGAAGGTCTTCCACTCATTCACTTAGTTTCGCATCAATCTTTCCAACCCCTTCATCTCACCTGGGGTGCATGCAAGGTGTTTGCGCTTCATGTTTTTGTTGCAGATGTTCCTTCGACAAGCACCTATCCGTCCTAGCCGTCTTCCCTCAAACCTTCGATTCCCTGCATTAGATGCCCTGTAAAGGTCAAATGATCTGAAAAACGGACCCATCATTATGTGGGGTACCCAGTGCCCAGTCCGGATCTAGTCGAACAGTCGGGGTCTTCAACCTCTGCAGATCCCATCGCGGACACCATGTGTCGCCCCCCACTCGCCGCCTGAGATGCTCAATGGACACCACCGTGTCGTGCTGGAAGGCCCGGTCGGGTTTGTCCGAAGCCCCGGTCGATCGGCTGTGCAGCGCAGGGGCTGAGGTCGACCATCCGAGGTCGCGTCCGTGGGGCCACAAGCTGTTTCAGAGGATCGAAGAAGCGAAGAAAGGGGAAAGATGGGAAAGGGGGATCTTCTTCAGAGAACATCAGGCGTCCCTTTTCCCATTGGAGTACAAACGTCAAGAGAACCAACTTGGTTTGATCTTTTTCAGAGAACATCAGTCCTGGATGCTGTCGGGGGGTAGGATTTCTCGAGTATCATCGATGAGAGACTGGATTTCGGCCATGAAGGCCCTACAGGCAGCCAGAGCTGTGGGGCCATTGGGGTGAAGGTGTCGAGCACCTGCAACTGTTGAAGAGGCTTCCTGCACCAGATATGGGCGAATCTCCAATGCCAAGACCAGTTTTGAATGGCAGTGCTTCAAGTTCTCGTTCAATTTCTGTAAGCCAAAGGTAATTATCGTGGAGACTCAACCTGGCGATACAATTGTTACATGATCCTTAAGGAGATCCGGTTTTCCAAGGTGGTGCAGAATATTGCTCAACATTCATCAACACGACATCCAACGAAATGTCCCTCCCGTCTTCGACTCCGCCACCGTTCGGGCGTGGTGAAAACGTCGCAGGTGACGAAAAGAAACACATTGGACACGGGTTTCCCATGAACATAGATGTTGTTTTTTTCTCCACATCGCAGGTGGTGGCTCTCAGACAGTTGCCAGCTCAACAGCAGCCACTGCATCCCCTTCATCACGTATCGCATCGGCGGCTATGTGAACAACGCGAACAACATGATCTTCAAGGCCGGGGATTTTTGTGGTTGTTTTTTGAACCAAAATTCATGAAGGAGGAGTGCTTTTGGGCATCAGTGCAGGTTGGTCAAGTAAAAGCTGGTTTTGCTTGGGCTTAGGACGATGTGTTTTTTCGTTTTTCCCAGCTGGGTGAATCCCCTATACTCTCCGAGTGATTGACATGGGAAACCACCGGCGTGTGGTCTTTGGGTTTTTCAATGGTCAGTTCAGGTTTTTGTGTGTTCAGAAGACCAAACATGCGTCACCATGATTCCATTGAGTGTATCAACCATTATATGACCGAACATGACCACCACGTCCTCCAAAGAACAACGACTCATCAGTTTGGACCATGATGATTTCGTGGGAGAACGCACTGAGAGGAACCACGCAGGGAGGAGTTGCACCCCGTCCTTCGTTCACGTTCCCGTCCGATTGGTCGGACGTGCGAAAAAGCGGAGTGGTCAGAGTTCCCAGAAGTTCCACTTTCGGAAGGTCAGACTTGACAGTTTCCAGTGGTCCGGTGGAACTGTCTTGACTCATTTGGCCCCCCCACGACTGAAGTCGTGGGTGTCCACCATTTGGGGTGGGGTGGGACGGTCCAAAGGGATGAGACCAGCAGGGCAAAAATTGCTTTGTGCAGGAGACCATCAGGGTATAGATCTTCCCCACAGTTTCTGCATGTTCATTCATCAAACCCGCCAAAAGGCAGACATGCTGCACTATAGTTGGAAGATCCAGGTATAGTCACTAGTCCATACATGGAGTGTTTGGGATAGCCTTGAGTGAAGCCTTGGGATAGCCTTGGCATTACCTCAGTGGAACTTCTGCGCTGTTCATGTCAGTAAGTGATGCAAACATGTGCGTATCTTCGATTGCAAGAGAAACTTGGTCCCTATACTTCTGAAGAATGACATAGAATGACACTCCTTCTGCTTCTTTTGGAGGCCAACTTCTTGAACATTCCGATCGCAGTGGGAGCCGCGGATGGCTACTGGTTTGACTCCAACTTCTATCATTTGGTGATGAAGCACGAGGCCAGGATCTCCCATTGCGGTCGCGCGATCCGTTTTTTCCAGATCTTTAATGTTTGTGGATGTTTGTGGAGCTTTTATTTATGCAGGGGTTGAGGTTCGGGTAGGTTTGGGGGTTGCAGATGCTAAGACCAAGCGGCAAGAGAGCTAAGGAAACAGTGCCTCAAATGTAAATATATAGCTATAGGGCTTTGGGCAGATGGAACTTGAACCAGGCAGCTAGCCAGGCGATTTCGTGCTCGAGTGCATCCCTGCTTCTCAGCTGCCGCAGCTGGTCGGGTTGGATATAGGTTCAACATGTTTCAACCAAGGCTATTGAGAGAGGACATGGGTGAATATCATCGAATATTTGCCTGTAAAGACCACTACCCTCAAGCGTGTCATCCTGACTTCTGTGCGCTATTCTTGAATGCACTACTCCTTTGCGTGTGAAGCAGACATCCAGCTGTGGAAGGTACAACTTTCGCGTGGATACCATTCTACCATCTTCTACCCATGGTTTCATGGTTTCCCAGCCAAACTTGCACCTTCACAGTGACAGCCTTCACCTATGCGTCCGGCAGCAAAACATGGCCACTTGTTGAAGCTTTGGTACCGTTGTTGCTAGAGGCTGGAGCCGGCGAGGATGGAGAGGCAAATGATCACAAATGTCAGGCAACAGCTTTGATTCTTTACAGTTCTATATTGGCCAGCAATGCCAGTGGTGCACTTGTTGCTTGAGGAGCTGAGAACGTCAGGTTTCGCGGCGCAGCGCAGCAGAGGCATGGCAACCGCAATCTTAAAAACCGCTGGCTGTGGAGGTTTTCAGCCACGGCTGAGCTGACGCGCTCTGAGAGACTGTGAGATGCTGCCAGCGCTCTTGAGATACACGTGTCGAGGAGAGTCGTAGCTCAGCCAAGCTCTCTCAGCTGTGCCTACAGCTCAGCAGCTCAGCTACACGTCGCGAGCTTCGAGTCAGCTTGGAATCGAGTTTCACGTTCGGCAGCTGAGTCCGAGCTTCGTTCGTGGCGGAGCGTCCAGATTCGGCACGAGAAGGACCCGATCGTCGTTTCGCATAGACCCAACACCAGTGTGGGTCTTCGTGTGCATATGCCGACTAGATATAGACTCTATCCCACAAGCAACATGAACCTAAGTGCACCAGGACCCACCAGGAGTGGTCAATTGAACACCCCCTTGCTTCGATCTCAAAAGATCTCCAGACGCACTTTTCATTGTTAAATTAGACACCTCAACTTCAGGTCCAAGCCATGCGATTCAGAGATCTATCTTAGACCAACCGCAGAAAGTACTTGACTTCGTCAGTTTTTTCCATCATGATACAATAGCAGGTCCTGTATCATAATATACATGTTTAGACCACCACAACAAGAATTCATGTTCACCTCCCGTCAAACACTCCGCTTCCACCCCCCGTCTGACAGGTCCTCTACTTCTTCTTCGAGCCGTACATCACCTTCGAGCTCCTCGAGCCAACCCTTGTGGATCTCCCCGCGCCCGACGCCACAGGCTCCTTCTCCGTGGACACCGAGCCGCGCATCGTGGTGAGCAGCTCGGTTCGGGAACGGCGCGATGGCGGCCCTGGAAGCTCTGGAAGTTGTGAGACGAAAGCGGGTGATTCTTGAGATGGTGGGTGAATTCTTAGCATTAGGAAGATGTTGCCTTTGATCAGATCCTTCTGTCACTTCAGGTCCTTCTCTCGCTGGCTGAAAACGCTTAAACTTGGCCTCAGGAGGAGGATGTGGATGGGTCATGAAGCCATGTTCATGTGACTCCTTCACCGGTTTTTTGTATCTTTTTGTGAGAACAACCATCACTTTGGGCACGTCGCTCGGAGGTGCCGCCGGAGTGTTCCTAAGGTTTTTCGTCTGTTCAGTGTTCCAACTGCCGGGGTCATGGCCGAACTCCACCGAGGGGGGCGGAGTTCGGTGCCCCAACATGAGGAGGTTCCGCCAGTACGGACTCAAGTTGAGCACCAGCAGCTTGTGTATTTGACAAGGAAAAGACCGCCACGGGCAGCTTCTTCAAAGATGCCCCCAAGTGACCTTTCGATGAGGGTGTGTGACCTAAACTGGGATCTCAAACACTTGGATCAGCCAGTGTGCCAACCATCATCCCACCCACTCCCAGAAGCCAAATCCACACCTTCACCACCTTCCTACATCCCGGGAGTGGTTCTTTTTCCCAAGCCATCAACACAGCTGGCGCAACGAGCCGTCCACACTGTGGCGAGCAGAAGCTGCCCAGGTAGCGACTTGGTCAAGTTGGCACCTGAAGTGCGGGAGATGCTGCTGCGAATGAAGTGGAGCATGGAGGACCCCCCCTGGCGCCAAGGCGACGAAGGCATGCCTTCGAACAAACCAAACTTGCTCTCTAGGCGAGCCGTTTTTTTCACCACCCAGCCGCTCCATCCACGGCCCGACAGGGTCCCGAACCAAACCATAGGGTTTGGTTTGGGTCCAGAGTCCAGAACCCCTCATCCTAACGATTCGGATTCGACTCCTGCCAGGTTCGGGTCCAGGGTTGCGTTTGGGCCATGGATTACTGTAATTCTCGGAGGTGATACCTTTTTTGGCGAGATGTGTTTTGAAGAAAAAGACACCAGTATTCAAAACGGTTCTTTCGATCGAAAGTGAAGTATATAAACCCTGGTTCCTTATTGTTATCCCTGTAGAAGTATCCAGAAGTCCAAAGACTGCATTTATTAAGGTTTCAGGCAATTCCTCAACTTGGGTTATTCAATTATTCAGTCAGTGTTTCCAATCTTCTAAACCTCATCGAGTATTGCTCCAACACTTTGAAACCATCGATGAAGACCGGGATCCAAGATGGACCACCTCGTTCACCTTCTCCTCATTGGTGAGGACATTCAGGAAGTGCTTCTGGCCGCTGCGGCTGCGGCGGCCACGGCTGCTGCGGCGGCCACGGCTGCTGCGGCGGCCACGGCTGCTGCGGCGGCCACGGCTGCTGCGACGGCCGCGGCGCTGGAGGATCAACTACTGGAGACTTGGCGGGTCCCCGCAAGCGTGGGACGCAGTGGAGTGGGAGGGTCGTTAGCTGGATGAAGCGGGTTTTCCAAAGGACTCGTAGAATTCTTTTAGACTACAACACCAGCTCCATGCATGGAGCTGTGTCTTCGAACCTGGGGTTACGGTACAATTAGAGGTTTTGCATGGTTTGACATTTGACCCTCCTGAGGGGAGGTGTGATTCATCGTTTATTTGGACCGTCCGATCCAAGTGTCCGTCCAGAGTGCGCCAGTGGCACTGAAGCAATCAAGGCAATATCTGAAGGGGTCCTTAAGGTGTGAAGCCTGCAGCCTACTGATGATTTTTTGGGTGGAATGGACACTGAACATCTGGGCTGATTTAATGACTGTTTTTCACGTGAGAAAGAAGAAACACTCATTCCAGGTATATACTAGTCTTGCTGGTCATGAGATCTACAACGAACGAACCTGCAGCGACGGGGTCAGTGCTGAGTCAATGGCTTTGGTCGTTGTTTCGTTCCTTTGGCGGTCGGCTGCAAGGTCTTCTCTATTCTAACCTCCCACCCTGCCATGATGTTGATTGAACATCATGAGGATTTTGAGGAATCCCTCTCAAGATGCCGTTATGTTGCAACGAAGCTATTCCGGCTCATCACTGGCCAATAAGGTTTGCAAAAGACACTAGCTATCAATTATCAATATGCCTGAGTAGCTAAGGCTGTGCTTTTTTGCTCAATTCATATCGGGTTTGTTTTGCCAAATGGAATTCATGAACACTTCCAACACAGTTTTGTTTTGTTAGTGCAGTACTTTTTTGCCAATGTAGCTTTGCAAGCTCCCCAATCAGCGCGAACAAATAAACTTGATGTCCATGAACTTTTCCAGCCTGACGGACCACACTTTGCCTCCAAGACAGGGGTCACTCGGGTATACTCGGGTTCTGGGAAACCACGCCCCAACCAGATTCTTCAAAGTCCTTAAGTGACCAGGCTCCAGGCCCAAGTGACTGCTTTTCCAAGGGGATGAAGCTGGGTCACTTTGAAGAAAAAGGAAATCTTTGACCCAATCGAAATGACTCGACTCCATTCGACTCCGCATGGAACGTCATCTTCGCTCAGGCGAACCTGACGGGCGCCTTTACGACGGGTGCCGCCTCTTCGGCATCGCCCACCGAGTTCAAAGAACAGGCGGTCTACCAAGGAGCGAGGCGTGAGGTCATAGTAGTAGTAGTAGTAGTAGTAGTAGTAGTAGTAGTAGTAGTAGTAGGAGTAGGAGTAGGAGTAGGAGTAGGAGTAGTAGTAGTAGTAGTAGTAGGAGTCCCATTCGCACGGGACCGACGGGAGTGGTCGGCATGTCGAACAGATCGACGCAAAGAGCTGGCCTGAGCTGCTTGTTTGCCTTTGTACACCATTTTCTGGAGCCCTAGGGTCTAAAGACAATGATGGAAAAAGAATGGAAAAA